CCCCAGTTTGGTATGCATAAATAAACAAATATTAAAAAAAAAGATATTTCTACATTGGTTAGACCAAACAACCTTTGCTCTAAAAAAATTAGACATATTTATATATAAGCAGAACACATAGATCTAACATGATTTACTAGAGTTGAGCATCACCGGGCTTATTACATGGTGCCTGAGTAGGAGAATGACTGCCACCTGTGTGTTCGTGGAAATGGTGTCTCTACTATGCCATCTCATCCCGCGCCCATCAACTGGTCACTTCATGGCAGCTACTGGGTAAAATTGGTAAGTGTAGCATCACATTTAACAGAACTCCTTATCAAGTTCTTTCACTTTATTTTTTAAGTGTGTAATTAATCCATGCTTCCACACTACCAAGGTAATGCTACCTAATGTATGTCAACCCAGAGTCCATTTCCTACATCTTAATGAACAGCAAATTCTGAAAACATTCATGACTGCCAGGCTTGCAGAGGGGGCAAGCTGACCTTCCATCCTTGTTCATGGTTGTTCCCTATTATTTTAGAGGAGTCCCTTCACAGTACCTGGCGATGAGGATATCCCTTAAACCACAGCAGAAGATAATCTGATAATAAAAGAGAAAAGATCAGATTATCAGAGAAATTGGCCAACTCAGTGAGAAGAAGATTCAGTGTTTGACAAGATATTTGAAATCTTTTATGAATAGTTACATCATACAAATTGAAGCTTAATCTTGTGACATCAAGTTGTAATGCACATTTTTAATATTTGCAACCCCCTATGTTATTTGTTGCATACATCTATGATGAGTGGATAGTACTCTCGAACTTTCAGCCTAGTTCACATTTAAAGGACTCAGAATTTGCTCCAATAAATGACATTTCTACAAAATATATTAGACACTTGCACTCTACCCATTTCCCCAGATGGCCTTCCAAAACTAGATTTCTTAATTTTCCTTCTTGGACATTTAATTATCCACTGCAATTCAATGGAGGGTGGGGTGGGTCTGGGGGGGATGAAGACTTTAAAAAAGAAAAATATTCCTTTCAAAATCACAAAGAAAGAAAACTACTAGGGAGTCCTCTGGAAACAGGGAGGGCCAGTGAGAACTCAAATACCCAGGCTTCTCCATTGTCTTTCTTTGCCCTGCAGCAACACTGAGTTTCGCCCCCAGCACCTTTCTCAGCCTCAGCAGGGAAGGGCTTTGTCAACACAGCCCACAGCTGGAAAGAGCCTTCAAAGGCCCCAGGTCAGCCACTCCTGGCAGTTTGTAAAGTTTTCTAAGCAGAAGCATTTCTTCCTCTCTCTGGAGCAAATGCCAGTGTAGGGGCAATGTAATCCCCACAAAAGTGTCCTTCACACCTCAGAATGCAATACAGATCCTTGTCCTCCTCTTTTCCTCAACAGACTCTGACTGCTCAGTAGCTTACCAGTGGCATTGATCTACACCCTGAACATCCGTGACAGCAACACCCCCCTTTCCCAGCTCCCAGCCCCTCAAGCTTCTGAACTCTCTGCAGATGAGCTGTTTTCCAAAACTGTCAGTCTCTGGTTGGGTCCCCTCGAAGCACTGTGGTCTCCAATTTGCCCTAATCTGCTCGTCTAGGCTCCGAGAAATGTGAATTTCAGCTCTCTCCATTTTCCCACCCTCCCCATTTAATCTGAGCGCACGTTAACATAAATAGCTGTTTCTATAAAGTAGCACTAAATAATGGGAAGGAAGCTATTTTTCAGTCACATGAAGGCTGTGAAGCCAACAACTAGCAAGCGTTTCTGGAAGAGCAGACAGGAGACCGCCGGGGTGGGGCAGGAGCAGCAGGAGCTCTCGGGCTGGCGTCTATTGGGCTCTGAGGCTGCTTTTCCTGCTATCAGAGACATCCACTGGACCTTAAATGTTTGTGGACCCCAAATACACAGCATTATTGCACTGATGGAAAGTACAGAAACTTGAAAACCCAGAAAACCATTTCTCTGGCAGCCAGGGCGGCATCACCCTTGGGGTGGTGGCTGAAGGCACAGGAGACTGCATCTGTGACATCAGCATCTAGCTGTGGTCGCGGATTACGCCAGCGTGATGGCTTTGGAGTAATTTCTGAGCTATACATCTATGATTTTCTATATGCATATTATGCTTTAATTAAAAAAACACCTGAATTGCTATTTATGAAATGTACTCTGCTCATGAATCAAGAAATTAAATGTAAATATAAATAAAAGTCATAAGCACTGGAATGAAACTAGATCATTAATGATAAAGACATTGTGAGGAAGAAACAGGCTTAGATGAACTCGGAGGGGATCTCTGGAGTTGCTTAAAAATCTGAGTAAGGACAACAGTGTGACATTTGTGCGAAAAAAAGACATCTGGCCAGGAGTTGAAAACTGTTTAAGCTGGGGAACAAGGAGGTTCGGTACACCACTTACTACTTGTAGATTACCTGAAACTAGCCAGGGACAAGTCATGTTTCACAATATCATTTAGTGGAGCCGTATAGATTCTGTAATTTTGTTCTCTTTTGCTGATATTACTAAAAGAAAAAAAAAAGTGAGAGAGAACCAACACACAGCTACCAAAGCCGGGGTAGACTTCGTGACTTCCAACGTGACACCTGGCGAGTCCTTCTATGACAAATGAGCCCTAAAATCACACTGGGAGTGACAGGCACTGGGATTAGTTCTGGCATCACGTACATTCATGGTGGGAAAAAAGAGACAAGAATTCTACACTAATTTTACAGGTCAGCTTCAGATTTGCTAGATATGTTTAAGAATAAAATAACAGAAACTGTCAACCGAAAACCTTAGCTCTCCCAGATCCCATTTCTCCTACCAGCACTCTGCTGAACCTACGTGTAGCATATTTTCACCGACACATAGTGCCGGGTTTATAGCATGCAGGCAACTCATCACCGAACCGGTCTACCCCTGCCATTAACCCAGACTTGACCTGCTGTGTGGCGCGTTCAGACAAAATGCAATCATATACTCAGTAATACGAGAGAGTTTCTCTAGCTTGGCTGTTTGTCCAGGGGGTTATAATTTTTGATCCGGGGAATATAGACATTTGATTTTAACTTGATTTATGTATTATTTCAACGTTGGAGTATTTTTTAGGACACTGCATGGGATGTTTTTACAAGAGCGTTAACAAACAAGCTTTTTATGGAATAAAATTTTCAAAGGAAATATAGCTTTTGCTACATAATTACATTTTGAATCCTTGATGGCAAATGAAAGCCATTGTTCTAATATGTGTAATACACAATTAAATCTCCTACACAGATAATGATGGAGTTGGGTGTGGGTTAGCGCCAACATGAAAAAAAGGAAAAAAGTTCAACCAAGTACACTTTTGCACAAGGGATGAAAATGTCTTCCACAAGTGTGTAAATGCTGGGGGCAGATACCTACACCCTTGCCAGTGTCATGGTTAATTTTCTTATATTTGCCCGAGAACCAGTCCTAGAATAATTAGTACAAGCAGCTGCTTAGAAAAAAAAAGGAGCAGATCAAAATTGAGAAAGCCAGGTGCTTCTCGAGGACCACATTGTCATGTGAACAGCTTCTGGTAATGAAGTAGCCACTAGTTTGACAAATTTGCTCTGTTCAACATAATCACTGTCTGTTCTTTCTCTAACAATTGGCAGAATTTAAAACTAGATGAAAAGAGGACGCGTCCTATGAAAAGTATACATGTGCAGTGCGTTGACAAAGGAACCGTGACAACAGAAGACACATGTATTTGTAATCACTTGTTGAAGTCAATGACTTCAAAGCAGTCATGGACACCTTAGGAGCGCTCTATTGTACTGATTAGTGAAACATTTTTGAAATCATCACAGATGATGTTTCGATCTGCAGAGTTAAAACAAATGCATCTCCAGGAGAAAGAGTATAGTCACCTGCCTAGCCCCACGGCACCACATAACGTCACAAATGAATGCCTGATTTTTATCTGCAAAATTTCCAGCTTAAGACGGTCATTTTGTTTTGTGTGCAACTACATTCTGGGGTTCAGCTTCTCAGATCTCCTGTACTCTTCCCCCCAACTGATGGTGCTTATGAGCCACTAGTGCAGAAACGAAGGAGTCTAATGGACCTCAATATAAAACGGCCAAGACCCTACTGTACTGGGGGTATTCAGTCGCCTCACATCAGGAGACACTTAGTGTTGATTCAGAGTGTTACTTGGTCGTGAACAGGGAACCTCGGAGTCCAGGCGGTTTTCATCTACATCTTCTTAATGACACTATCTAGTTCCGAGTAAAAGTACTTCAGAAGACACAGGTTCGCCCAAAAAAAGTCTGGCACGTTGAGTATTGAATAACGTTTAATGATATTTATAAGCAATTGAATTTTGTATATTCCAGACTTATATACAGTATCTTTATAACTTAATGCATTTAAATTTTGATCATAAATTTAAATAAATCTTCAATATGATGAGACAGGACAAAATACTCAAGTAGATTTTCTTTCCCATTGAGTAATTCTATTTATATCTTAATTGATAAACTTCCTTTGTTAGGCTGACATGATGGAAAAGTGATTCTATGGATTTACTTCCAATGTACAAAACAAGAAAGAGGGGGCAAATGATCTGTGATATAAAACGAGGTATATAAGTGATATTAATATGCTAAATGTTAACTCAGTAATATACAAACTATGCACAAAACAGACTGCTGTAAATAACAAATGAAGACTCACATTCAAAGGTGTGCCAACCATTGGCTAAAGATACAAATTACTTTGCTCATTAGGTCTTTCCTGTATATCTTTAAATGTATAATATTTTAACCATACATTTGTGAACTCAAAAATTAGTATTTGATAACATGCAAATAAATACTTCCCACGTGGAGCTAAATAAGACAAAACTGATTAAAATGGAGGAAAACATACCTACTAGTCATATAAAAGGTTTAAAAATCAGAGCTAAGTTATGAGAGCTGCTAATCACTAAAATTTCTAAAAGAAAAACTGACTCAAAGATAGGCTAAGAAAGATGAGTAATTAACATTTTTCAGAGAGTTAAGATGTGAAACCAATCAACTCCTCCTTAGGATATAAAATATGTTCTTAGAACAAAAGAATTGCAAAGTCTTTAAAATCTCAAAGAATTGAAAAACTCTAGCACATTTTACAAAACTCACTAGTTAACTTCATTTCAATGTTTTGAATGAGTTCAAAATCGACCTCCCATATAAAAACATGTGGCTACATCTACAAGGAAATGCTATTAGTTCAACACTAAAAAAATGGAAGAAAAGGAGAAAGTTGGCCTAGAAATATCCAAAATTGCATGTAGATGGGGTATGACTAAGAATGTCACCACAGCATGAAAGACCATGTGAAAACTCTAAAAACAGCGTTTAGTTTTCAGCACGCAGCTATGTAGCATTTATGAAACGCCTCGCTGAGTAATGAGTCTCCACACACCGAGGCCGCAGGGGGCGTTTGCAGTCCCCATGTACCCGAAGGCACACGTTTTGAGTAACACGTGGTAAGTCACACGAAAGCACTCGCATCTCAATAGACCAAATCCCAAAGTGCCTACAGAAACTGCCAGATAGAGGTGGAAGTAAAATGAACTGCTTTATGTCTGTACCTCAGAAGGATTTCCATAGTGACCTTTCCTTGAATTATATTAGTTGAGGTAAATCATTAAACACCAACCAAGGGAAAAGAAATGGGACACGTTCACCCATGACTGGAGTCAGGATACCAAGGGTGATCAGATTCCCATTCCTCCATGAATTAAAACGTAAAGCTCAGTGAACAGTAACTTCTAACAGTAAATATATATGAACTGGGCTTCGAGATGTTTCCCAATCCCAAGTTACCATCTGTTCCTTGCTCACAGAGTTGAGGTGAATAAACTATTTTAATTCCTGAATAAAGGAACTGAATCAAAAAATTGAAAAACTGGTGAGACTTGACGACCTGAGATTTGTCCCAAAGCAATAAAGTAATAAAATAAGGAAATGAGCGAGGTTCAGGAATCTAAATGTATTCTTATAAAGAAGAATGAGAGGATCAAAAACTCAGAAAGAGGATATTACTTGAAAATGGAAGCAAAAAGGAAAACAGAAAAAAAATCCTGAAAACGATGCCCATCCAGTCCACGACGGTCAGCACTATGGGATGGAACTGTCAATGACCTGGACTTGCTTGATCCGGGCTGCAACACATGAATGCCCAAGTACTGCCAGGTGGGTGCCGTTCCTGGGGCTAAATCCCAGGGGAAACCCTCGGGGGCCTCTCCCGGAGAGGACGGGCAGGCACCCGAGGCCCTGCGCTGCGAGCCCTCCCCAGCTCTCCCCACACCACGGTGCCCCTGAAAGCCGATGCCTCGCTGGGCCGGAAGAGGAAAGTCTCAGCAGAGCCCCCTCTGCAGTCTCGAGCAGCTCAACGCGGGCAGCTCACCATGGGGAGTGGTCAGAGAGAAAGGACTCCAGCAAGACAAGTCTCGGGGACACCTGCCTAAGAGCCGGCGAGAGGTAACCGCAATAGCAAAGGTGATGGGCTGCCGTCTTCTCTCTGCTAGGGTACAGGAGAGCTGGGGGGCGATTTCAAAGGCTTAAAAGTTGGCGGAAAGAAGGTTAGATCAGGAGACGGCAAGTGTGATTTTTTGGCAACGCGAAGTAGACTAACCGCTGGGCATGAAGGCAGCACGGAGGAGGCGCTTATCCGAGGAGGGCTCGCCACAGTCCTAGGGTCACAGAAAACGTCATGGCTTTAGGAGGTGACACGGCGGGGCGGTGACATCACTGCTGTCTATTCGACACGCTGCGTTACTGCACACCCCTTAACACGAACGGGAGCTTGTCACAACTGCGTTTTTGGTTGGGGTTTCACGGGTGACTTCCTTTCTTAGGGAAGCGCTACTTTGCTGACAAGAAGTCAGCGACTTTCCAAATTACAAGTGATCGCCCCTTGAGGACTACGGTGCTCAGGCCGCTTTGATGAAACGGCATCTCAGGAGGCGATGTTCAGAATTCCAGACCACACAAGGGGCAAGGTGATTCCAAAGATACTGTTTGAACCCGTGGGTTGTCTGATGTTCCTAGGATAGCCTGTATAATTATATTCTTGTACTTGCATGATTCAAGTTTCTAATTTGCTGAGGTTATCCAGATTGCATCATTTGGCAGGCTCAGTTTAAATAAAATGTCTTATATGCACAACAAATTTTTGAAGTCCTCATGATAAAAATGCAATGTCATTTCCAGACTGCAAAGAATCGTTTTTTCTTGTCTCATTCGACTAAGTATTGAAATCAAGGATTCAATTTCATGGAACGCTAACGGGGTATTTTAGTATTATGCTAGTATTATGTTAGTATTATTAATAGCATTTTAGTATTATTTTAGCATTATTTGTCTAATAAAATTAAAGGCAAAGATAAGCTAAAATACATGAATATTTCCCCATCGATCTGAACATTGTGCATTGGATATAGGACAACATTCTACAAGAGTAAATTCATCTCCTTGCTCTCAGACTCCCCATTTGGTCATTATCAGAGTCTGAGTAAACTGCGACATTATACAACGAAATGTTAGGGGCAACCTCACAAAGTGCTGGTAACTGGGAGGCAAGCAGGTGGTCAGTGACTGCTGATTAAAAGGCTTTCATCTAAAAACTCATGGTGCACATTCTATGTGGCTTTTCCCTATACATTAAAGAAAGCACATGCCATTCTATTTAGGCATGCTTTTAAATGTAAAGTACATTTCTGTGTGAGTGAACATACCTACTTTTGTGTGAAAGTGGTTCCTGGCTATTTTTATTTTAACGGTACAGAGGTCTGGAAACTGGAAAGCTTTGGGTTTAAACAATGATCTGTTTTGTATTATCAAGGAGATTCTTTCCTGGTCATCCTTTTATAACGAATAGGGGTAGCCTGATTAGACTTCTTTTAGCATTTTACAAAAATAACTGCAGGTACACTGACTTTCCTGAGCAGGAAAATGTACATTATGATCATTTAAAAATGAAACACATGTTTAGCAAAAGAAAAACTGCTACCTCAATAGTTATTTAAGCATCCTGATTAAAAGCAAGTAATTAGTGTCAATTTTTAGCTTCTTTTAATTACGTAAGGGATGTGCTTTTCCATTTAGAAGATGAGAATATTTCCATGCCTGATGACAAATGAAGCAAGCTCTGCCTATACCACAGGGGTCTAGGGAACAGAGTGGCCAGGTAGGGTTTACTGTGTAGCGTTTAATGTGACATTAATTATGAAATTGGCCGTGCCGATCCAATGAGAATCATGATGTGTTTTTAAGGTAAGTGTTTGAGCTTAAGTTGACATTAAGCTACAAGAGTTTGAAAAAAAAAAAAAACAGATAGGGTCAAATTCCAATAAATTTGAAATAAGGACAGCTATAAACAACAGAGCTGCCATTTTTCATCCAGGTCACACTTCACCCAAAGCCTAATTCCGAGCAGTGTGAGCTGGCTAAAGCAGAAAAAATAAATGGCTATTCAGAAACTAATTTATTCTAATGCGTGTCTGGAGTGCATGTTCACACACCGTCATCTTCTTGGTGAAATGATAGATCTGTTGTTTTTATATCTAGCAACACATATAGCTGCCGACCTAGTTCATAATCCCCAACAGGCTTCTAAACGAAAACACTAGATCCTTGAGAATTAGAGCGATCTGCCTTACAATTTAGGCAGCATTTAGACCTTTGTTAATGAAACCGAGACTATAGTCCTTAAAATGGACAAAAAGACTAGCCTTTTTGTAGACTAGAAGAATCTACTGGTTGGCTGGTTAAGATTTCAGGTCTAGGACTAAGCAAGTGAGACTCAGTAAGAACAAAAGAAGATGAATAGGTCTTTTTTTTTTCATATTTGAAGTCAAATCATCAGCGAATCTATACTTACAACAATTATTGGTATTTACTCATAGGGCAAATTTTCATTACTCTGAGTCACATGCTCTTTGCTTTTTGCCTTGAAATCTGCTACTCTCTTGAAAGTGTGCTGTGCACTGGTGGGTGAATCGAGAGTGAGGCGACACCCTTCAAAACTGGGAGCTGCCTGATTGTTCATAACAAGCTGCAAATCCAGAACTCAGTCTGCACCCGAGTCCTCCTCTATTAAAACTTGATGCCGGGGCCACGTGAAGTCACTGCTGTGTGTTGATAAGGGAGCAAACTCCAGAGCCTTATTCTCCAACTCCACCTTGGCCCGTTAGACACCTGTGTGTAATTGCGCTCACCTTGTTTTCCAGAAGGCGCAGTTACACCGCACCGGCATGCTCAAAAACCATATCACACTGGCTCGTGGCACAGCTACATAATGTGAAAACTGAGCACAATCGTCACAGAGCACCACTGGCGACCATGGCCATCGCTGTGTCTGATTCCCGGGGCACACCTGCACTGTCTGTCACGCGGTCACCATCTGTCCTCATCACCGACCTCAAATCCGACCTGTCACGTGCTCACCACTGTCAACCCAGGCATGATGTCCACACCAACCACATCTAGTCCTGTCTTCCCTCTGAGGACGCTCCCACAGCACCGCATCTCATAAATCACAAGGAAACGATGCACCTGCACTCTGCCCCGTCCCCTGGCTCTAGTTCTGGAGTCCACGATTATTTTGCACTTGAAGATGAAACTAAGCATGCACCATGGAGCACTCTGCAAGATACACTATACAAGACACACGCCATCTTTTGAGGGGCTCGTGATAAGCTCCATCCTTATCCCACAGTAGCACCTGCGGTTTGACAGAAATATTGAATTGTCAGTGGTCTTTATCTACTAACGAAAAGGAAGACTCCCGTGTAGCAGGGCATAAATGAGACCATTTCATTCCTAGCTCCCCAGAGGGAAGAGCCTACAGATGTCCGGGCTCTTTTATTATCCAGTTTGCCGAGACAACCCACCTAGGGAGTAAGGTCCTCCCGTCAGCCCTCCGTGTCCCGGCACGCAGGAACTACCACCTCAGCCGAGGGCGACCAGCTGCAGGGATGTGTCTCTCTCCCCCGGGGCTCCGGCTGGAGACTCCACACCATGCCGGAAGCCTGCTGACGGGCCACTGAGGCTGCCTGAAGAGGCCTCGGCCTAACCGCTCTAAGCCCCTAGGTAGAGGGGGCGGAGGAGAGGGCTGGCCGCTGAGGAAAGGGCGTCCCTTAGAGACTGGGTCTCCGGAGCCTTCTCCGACCCTACCACCATCCTGCACCGCCCAAGCAAGTCAAGCCAGCTACAGAACAACATCCCAGGAAACAGGAAGATGACTGGAGTTTCCAACCCAACACCATCACATCCTAACACAGGACGGGCTTCCTGGTGGGTACAGGATGTCCCACGGTGAGGCCCGGCCTGCAGCTCGAGGCTCCCTGTTCTGGTTTCTGAGCCCCGAGTGCAGCCTGATGGCGCGAGGAAGGGCGTGTCGCGCTCTCTTCCCGCCACGGGAACACTCTGATGCAGCCTCTGGGGTGATACTTACTCAAATATGGTGGTTTGTAAGGCGCTCGTGTATTAGACAGCAGTCCGTCCAGCTCCTTCCTCTCCAGGGTGCTGTGCAGCGCCTTCTCTTTGCCAAAGGTGGAGAAGGAGCGCTCCGCCCCGGGCTGGGCTTCCGGAGCTTCGAACACCTCGGTGTCGGGGACGGAGTCCATGCCTGGCACGTGCAGGTTGCTGCGGTAGTCGGCGGCCTGGCGCCCGTCGGCCGGGACGAAGGAAGGCATCCAGCACCTATCCGAGTGGCCCAGCGCCTTGCATTCCTCGGTGCAGTTGGAGAAGAGATCCATGCCTGTGGGCGAAACACGAGACCCATAGGTGGGCTTCAGGCACAGCTTGGCAAGTCACAGGCGGGCGGGAGGCCGAAGGCCCGGAGCGCTGGAGCGTTTTAGCTCCGCAGGGCCAAACGTCTCTTCACACTTTTCTGTGAGCGCTAAGACTCTTGGCCAAGAGACGCCTGAGATAGATGTTTCTAAGCCACTCAGGGTCTCAGGAGGGAGAATCTGGGCTGTGAATTATTGAAATAGTTAGGGGACAGTAGCAGACAGAGAATGAGATTGTTTAAAAACCTCTGATGGCATACTTAACAGAAAACACCCAAGGACAAAGTCTTGATCATCCATCATCAATAATGAGAACGCGCCTGCCCTCTCCCCGCCCACAGCCAACACTGACGATGAGGCTTAGATGGTGACATCTGGGCACGTGCCCAGGCACAGGCCTTCAGGCTGCAGGCGGACGCCCGCAAAGCGGCCTTTCGCGAGGGGCGGCGGGCAGGCTCCCTGGGACCTGGGAAACGGGCTGGCGACACTCCGTGGCCCACGCTACTACGGGCCACTCCCCGCCGGCCACCCCCGCCGGCCACTGCCAGGACATGGGACAGAAGACCAGCAAACCCAAGGCGGCTGCACGCGGGGAGCACAGGGGCGCCACGGACAATCACCTGACTGCGGGTGCTTGGGCCGGCGCCCCCCAGAGCCTGGTCCCCCCAGAGCCCGGTGATTACTCATCCTGGAAGGGCAAGCTTGCAGGTGAGGACTTCAAGCCTCATTGTCTCACGGATGGACAAGGCTATTAAATCTTATCTGATTATGACTCCAGGAAGCTCTTTCAGTTGCTGAAGCGAAGTATAGCCATTCTCATGCACGAGGAACTACTATTTGATATTCATTTTGATAATTAGCACTATACAGAAAAACAAGTACACAAGCCCAAATCGCGTTTTAATGTCTTTCCAAAAATAGTAACTTATTTATTGAACCTGTTTTAAAATAGGATCAATTTGAAGTACCCAAAAGCACCATTCATCTGCATGAAAGAAACTCTCAAATGCGTGTCTAGGCTGGAAAAATTACAGATCTTTCTTGACCAACAGAACAATATTTAGTTAATGGCCATGCTTGGTTGTTCCTTCCATAAATATCAAGAGTGATTTCAGCTCTTGAACAAGTTTTAGTTTTAATTGCTAACAGTATTCTGACATATACTGATCAACAAGCTTGTGTGTGTTTATGTCAACATCTGTAGATACAAAATAAAGGCAATCGTACTTCCAAATTACTGCTCTTCTGGACTGTCCACAAGGATTTTGGATTTCTGGACTGTTAACTACATGCATTATGTTCAACAAAATAATGCCAAGCTTCTTGTCATAGGTTCATCTCACCTTAAAATGACTTTTTAGTCTAAACGGAACTATGTATAATGCCAAGTCTGACTTCTATTATAACATTCCTTTGATAATTGTCATGCATAAGTCTGGAAATAAATTACTGATCAGTGAACTGTTGAGGAGCTTAGACGTGAGCTGAAGCTGGGATTAAGGAGCCAGCTTAGCACAGGATGTCAGACATGTCAGCGCTTCTCTGGACACCAGGCCAGTTCGGTTCTTTATCCTGTCTCTGCAAGGAGCTGTGTAGACAGAGAGAGAAAGCGAAGGGCACTGGTCCCAGGCACACTGACCGCCTGGGCCACCTGATGGGCATGCGTCCTTGCTGTTGACATGGGGACTAAGCACTGTGTCCTCCCTACATAGAGGTGGGTGGCACTGACAGGGTCCCCAGGGCCCACAGACGCCCCCTATTATAGACTGACGGGGGAGACCTTCAGGGCCAAGCGATTACAGACAGTTATTTATTATGAAAATAAATTCAAGCGATGTCCACTTTGAAATGGATGTGATGAATTCAATAACAGGATTGTCTTATCAGAGCTTACTCAAAGAGGGTACTAAGGCAAAACTTGGAATTAAAATGATTGTTTGCCACGTGACTGAAAATCCTTTAAAGCGAGCTGAGTGCTGGTTCCAAGGCCTGGTCACCCTGAAGATAAGTTTACACACCCAGATTGTAATTCGCTAGGAAGTCGACATTCCTGGTGAGCTGTTGGTGGGCATGTGAGAGATGCTTTTGCTCAAATTTGGTTTCGTGGGTAAATCATACTCAGTTGTGCTCATTTTCTTCTGTTGTCACTATGGTCTTCCACCTCTTTTAATTTCTAGAGGCAGGACACAAGCCCCTTTGATGATGTAGCAAAGTTCTCATGGGTTGAGAACCTGTACAAAACAATCTATCACATGCCCAAGAAAAGTGAGGCAGAGGAGAATATTTTTTGGCTATTATTGGAAGAACAACATTACTTGACAGAGGGGAAAACACACTAGTGAATAGTTTGCTTCGTTTAAGAGCCATCCCTGTGCAGAGGCAGCCACAGCAACATCACGCAGCCTCCTAGGCTAGAATAAAATGAGGCTCCCACCGCCTGTGAGTCCGCCCCTCAGGGTCCCCCATGAACACCTCTCTTTCTCAGGAGCAAACTTGCAAAGAAACAAAATTGTTTTAAAGCAACAAATGACAGTCAATAGCTTTCAGATAAGGAATGGAGCGGTTCCCTGAAAACGGGGGTCGCTTTTAGTTGCCTTCGGGACACAGGTTGAGAACCAAATAAACGTTTCTAAACTGCCGCCCTTACCTTGGGGCGCCATGGAAACATCAACTCGTGCAGCCCTTTTCCCCTTATCAGGAGCCGCACAGACACGCTCTTCCGACAAGGGACTGTTTAAGTCCGTAGGTCATGGATGAGTGCATGGAGCACGGACCAGGATATCCATACACAAGACACAGCAAACACGTTCCCCTCCTGTGGACCTTGCCCAGATTGAAGCCCCAAGTGTTTTTCCCCCCATTCCAGTGTCTTTACAGTAGAAGGCATCACAATTACGTAGCAGAAAAAATGCAGGTCAAACCTCCGCTTAGAAATGTTGGTGATTTCTAAAAAAAACACAACTTTTTCAACATATATATTTTCTTTGCAATCTCTTTTTCTAGTTATTTATTTTTTTTTTCACTTCTCGGCAATAATCTGTTCTGTAAGGCATGACAGCTGATGTGATAGACTGCCTGTTATGCAGAGATAAATTTAGACAAATTTTAAAATCCATCTTTTTAAAGTGGCAAGTAACTTGTCCCTTGGAGTCAGAAGCAGAGATATTACCACTGAGAACAAATTGTGATTTCAAAAATATACTTCTGTTCAATTTATGCCATTTTCTGGAGAATATAGTACGAGAAAATTATGGATACATCTCTTCTTCCTAACAGCAACTCCTCACAACATGTTTATTTTTTTCAAACTATGATGTGTTTATGCAAAAGAAAATCCACACTCAATTCTTTGAGAAAATTTCTAATCTTGCTTTAACTGATTATAGTGGGGGGAAACCAAGCAATATTAACTAAAACGAAAACTTTATGATGATTTTTAGGAAAATATGGCTCAAGGGCAGAGATCTAACACCACAATTCCTAAAAATTTCAAAACATGGACATGGAAAGTTTTCTTTATATCTCTATGGATCGTCTTCCAAAATGTTTATACTTTTCTTCATTTTATCTTAACATTTTCCCTCATACAGGTTTTCCAGTTACAGATCCACAGTATCTAGTTGTAGCTCAGAATTTGACCAGAAACCTGAATAAGCTTCTAGCAACCATGACTCAATTTTATTTCTAAAGTCAGAAACTAATTTTCCAGTATCTAAATTCTTACTTGAATTAAGAGAAGGAGATTTGCATTTTATGATCAATCAGGAATTCTCTTGCTGACACTGTGGTAGTGGTCAATGGCTTGAGACATTTCACGACATACTTTACCCATTCGTTTGTAAATACGGGCAGCCCAACTTTTTAATTCAATTTTATCAAGAATAAATATCAAAACAATTAGTCAAGAAATAACCCTATTTAGATGTTAAATTGTCTTATAAGTGAAAGAAAAACTGCAGGTAGAAAATTCTGGCTTTTTTTTCAAGTGAACTATAGCAAGTGCCATTCACTGAATCACATGTTAGGGTTCTTTGTGTCAGTATAATTTTTGAAGAGGCACAGTGATTAAAAGCAAGTTGATACTCAACCATAGTATTATGCACGTTATTCGAATTCAATAAACGGCAAGAGTAACTCCATCCAACTACACAGAGCGCTTTAACCACACTGCAGTAGCATTAACATGCCCGAGCACATACAACTGAACGTGTATCAGAATTCTCAACTAGAAAAAGTGATCTGGCTTTTCACCTCGTGCCACACTAAGCCACGCTGGAAGCACATTCCCTTTAAGGCCACTGGGCCCGGGGCTTGGCTCCTCCAGCGTGATGAATCAGGTTTCTCCTGTGGTGGCGGCTGTGCATGCATTTACTACATCTCCTTGGGCTGCGGCCAGATCTACCCCGCACAGCAATCGCGCCCTGCAGAAGACTCCGGGCACCTTGACAGGCCCACGGGGAGAAAGGGCCACGGGCAGGGCCAGGCCTTGGGCCTCACACTGAGCCAGGTGCACTGTGCACGGACAAAGCCCCTGTGGTGCCGCGGGCAGCTGCCAGGGCCCGGAGCCATCGGCACACGAGATGGGGGCCGCCTGTGGTTGGGGGAGCAGACCCGGGCCGGGGGCAGACAGGACAGAAGAGAAAACGATTTGCGGAAGAAGAAATGAAGAAGTAACTAAAGGCATAAGCTAGAAAGCCGCATTACCAGAGGGAAGAAAAGTGGGAACGAGGGAGAACTTAGGATGGGGAGAGGAGGGCCCGCGCCTGCAGTCACGCTCGCCCCCGGGGGGGGGGGGGGGGGTTCAGATCTGTCCTTCTTCAGGCTCCTTCTGCTCTAGCATCTGACTTCCCGCCTGAAACAGACTGACCGGGCCCGCGTTTAGTAGCCTTGGCTTGCTACCGAGCCTGTGCCTGAACGTGCTAGGAGTAGGGTTTCCCAAAGGCGCACGCGGAGGCCGGCAGCACCTGGCTTTGCAGGGAGGAGGCCAGGGCACGCACGGAGCCCACCTGCACCCGGCTCTGGGAGGCGGCTGAGTCCTTGGTTTGGGGCTTATGCACTCCCAGCGGCAGTGCAGGCTGGGAGCAAGCGGGGGAGGAAATGCTTTCAGTTCTCTGCCTGTCCAGCTTTCTGCTTAGAACAGAAAACATTTCAAAACCACCCTCCCAACAGGGCCGACCCGAGAAACCGCTGCAGTGCCGCACTCAGGGGGCAGCTGCTTCCCAGTGGCAGTGTGAGGGGCCATCGGGAAACAGCTACCCCGGGGCGTGTGGCCGCCTGAGACTGCTCACGGAATACAGAAGTAGAGCAGAAATTTGACAATAAATTTTACATGCTGAAGAACTCAAAGACAAGACAGTATTTTTTTTCTTGCCATTTGGATAAAGAACAATAAAGACTGCCTTCCTTTACAAAAGCCGCATACCCTGGCATGTTGGGTTTCCTTTGAGAGCTCTGGCAACTAGACGCCTCTGAAAGAAGCATCATAAGAACGGCAACATGAGTGGGGGTGAGAGGAGTGGGTAGGAAGCCACTGGCCCGCCCCCAGCGAACCTCCCTCCAGTCCAGCCTCTGCTTCTGGGAGAGTCGGCTGCTCCTCTCCCTTAGGCTAAGGAGTGGAGGGGCTCAACTAATTGAAATGTGCATGGAGATCAGAGCTGTTCCAAAAGACACAGGGAGTGGGGAGGGGGCGGAGGCACCCCAGGAACAGAAAGCAGTCTCTCTCTGGCCAACATGAAACATTTTGTCTCCCCAGTTTTAAAAGGCGGACTGTTGGTTAAATGAGAAACTGAAAAGAATAGGAATGAGCCATTCTCAATGTACAGCTTTTTAAAAGACAACAATAAATCATATGCCATATATAGGCCAAAAATGAAAGGGACTTTGTGCTCAAATATAAACTTCTGGCAGGACCTGGTGTGTTGTCAGGTCCCAGACACTAAATAGATGCTCTGTTCAGCTGGCGTGAAGGCCCGTCAGGGGCTGGGACCTCCGGGGATCCTGGCAGCCCGGGGCCCATTAGGCCTGCATATTAATGACGCGCGGCAATATAAAGAGACCCTTGAGCAGCTCCCGCTTCAGCCGCCTTTCCCAAGACCAGGGCCTCAGACACAGCAGCACCAGCCAAGGGAGAGGCTCCAGGAGTGTCTGCTGCCAGGCGACGCGGGACCCGCTGCCCTCTGACCCACTGCCTCTCCGCTCACCGGGCCTCCGGCCTGGCCTGCAGACACCGGCTTCCCTGAGGAGGGCCTTGCTCCCCTGCACCATGAGGCGGATAAAGCTCAGCCTCAGGGAGAGGGGGGGGGCGCCCACGGGGGGCACTTACAGAGGCCACAGGAAAGCAGGCTTTTCACTGCTTACGTGCCAGACCCGCACCGAAGCCACACCGAGGAAGCCTCAACCAGCACTTTACGGGGGGCACACCGATGACGCGGACGAAAACCCAACGTCTATGACAGGTGGCCACTTCCTCACGGTTCGGGATTTTCTTTCTTTCAAGGGTTTCCTGCAAGTGTTAGCACGTGGCATTAATCGCCACGACCCCGCCACACGTGAACAGGAAGGCTCTGAGAGAAAGGTAAAGCCACAAACGAAGTCAAGTGAAGACCTGCGACAGAGGACGGCTCCAGGCAGCAGCGCCTCGCCCGCGCCGGAGGCCCGGAGGCCAGCTTGACTGGACATGCAGAAAACAGGGGCGTCCACGTGCTTCACACACGGACTGGTCACTGGTCGGGGGGGAACCCCTGCTCTGAGCCTGCGCAGGCCTTCCCTCGCCACTCCTGCGCTCCTTCAGTCCTGGGGCTGCAAAAGGCTCTACTCTGAACACCAGGGGCGTGGATGCCAGGCGCCGTGCCCCCCCCGCCCCCCCCGGGGTCTCCAGGGGCCTTATGCTGGTCAGTCAGTTCCATTCATCTGCAGTGGCCTTATCCAGAAACGAATCCAATCATCCCTCGATTGACTGAGATGGCCCTGGCGGGTGGAGCTTTGGGGGGTTGGAGAGCAGGTGGATGCCAGGCCAGCAGGGCATGGAGAAGGAAGCCTTCGTCCGGCAGGCGGCCCCCCAGTGAATGTGGGAGGAAGCTTCCTTGTTCACTGCAGCAGTTACGGGCAGAGCACACAGCCTCTGCAGTCACCAACGCTCCGCGGCAGAATCGAGCTGGGACGGTGTCCGCGCCAGACGGGTGAAAACAGGACCCGCCACGGAAGCCCACGGCCGGTGTCACTTACCAGCCGACTGTCCGCGGTTGGTGGCATCGTGGTCACTGTCCCCCTGCTCGCTGTCTCCGTGGCCGCTGTCTTTAGAGCTCACTATATCAGCTTCCTGGAATGCAGAACTACAAGTGCAAAGATGTGGATATTAGAATTAAAAGGTGAAGAACACGAGAGTCATGCTTCTGCCACCACATGGCCGCCGCCGGTGCTGCAGACCGACCCTGTCCCTCTGTTGCCTGGTATTTCTGCACCAAAGTAGTTCTCATCACCTCAAGTCTCACTGGTGGGCACTGAGCCCAGCAGCCCCAGGGAGCTGGTCCAGCGTGTCCACGTGGGTGTTCCTCCCTGACAGCAGCCCAGCCACAGCACCGGGCTGTGGGTTGCTCACTGAGGACACACTCGAAGGCACTGTGAAAGCTGACTACAGTGAAACAGGCACTCTTGGGGGGGGGGGCTGTTGTCCAGCCCATACAGGGTGGGTGCCTGCCCCTGCCTAACTGGAAATCCTGGATACCCTTTCTACTTGAATAGGGAATAATATATCAACTTCTACGCTGAGTAGGCAGTAAACTGCCCAGCCACCAAGGGAGAGCAAGAGTGGGCAGAAAAAAAAAGAGTCCATACCTGTTCACTCGGCGAGGTCTGTCAACTAGATAGCTGAGCTCTGCTCGCTGGTGTTTGGTCTAGGAAAAAAATAAATAAATCAAGAGCATTTGAGTGCTAAGGGTTTCACTAGCAGTCTGCTTCTGAGGTTAGGAACTAATTCTAGCTCCAGGCTTTGAGCAGCCTTTTAGGAATTTCCAAGCTGTCTCAGGACCTCAGCCTGAGGAGGGTAGGCCAGGGCAGGGCCCCGTGCAGAAATGCTTCATCTAGATTCAGTCAAGGTGAAATCAAAGCAGCCATGAAAGCCCAGTTTTAAATGTGAGGTATTTGTAAAAGGAATGCAAAGGGCTTCCCAGCCAGGGCTTCTGCACTCCAACTCCCTCTCTGGCTTAGTCAACCCCTGCGCTCTCTGCAGTCCTTCTCAAGGCCTAAAACAGTGTTTAGGTGCATCCTGGTTGACACAAGAAAACAGCACGCTGAATAAGGAAAAAGTTTGTATGTTTTATGGAATTCTTTTGTTGTTTATTTTCAAAATGTGCTTACGATACAAATGAGCTGTACAAATATTCATGAAGTCAATTAATATTATCTAAGACTCAAATAAATTAAAGAACCTGCCGAGAAAGGAGTTCACCAGCATCCCTCATCCCCATTGCCCTCTGCACAGTCCTCCAGCCCTCCACCCCACCAGGGCCAGGCCAGCGCAAACTTGCTTTTGCATAAATCAACCCCCTCCCTCCTTCCAACTGGGCCTCTTCTCCATCTTTGAAAAAGAAATCGGAATTGACAAGCCAGAATCTGTGATGAAGAAAAGCAACAGCAGTGGCAAGAGGTGGTGATGAGCTAACAGATGGAGGTAAGACCATCCTCTAAGCCTGTCCTTAGTTTTGGCTCCCAGGGGTCTGGCCCAAGCCACTTCCTTCAAATCCACACTGGGTGGGCGCTGGGCTTCAAGAGCGTCTGTAAATGCTGTCCAGGGCCGAACCGGAGGCTTTTCTGCAACCCGAGTTCAGAGGACAGGAATCCCGTTCACTAAGACATGCATTTGAGTGTAGACAACTGCAGAGTTAAACAATCTATAGCTGACTGTTACACGCGATGGCGGGCATCATAAACAAAGCAAAACAGGATGAACTTTATTAACGCCTGGGACAAACGCAAAGAGAAAGACCTCTGCCAGGGCCTGAGCGACCCTGGGCCACCGAGGCCCTCGCCCCGCCCGCCCCCCGCCCGCGCCTGCCACGCCCCCTACCCCGGGGGTTTGGAGAAGGGCAAGGGGGGAGCGGAGACCCGCGGCCCAGGAAGAGAGAGGGCCCGAGGGGGAGGCGGCTGCGGGGGGAGGGGGCAGAGCACCGAGGGCAGGGGGGAACCAGGCGGAGCTCAGGGAAGGAGGGACCGCAGGAAGCTCCCATTACGGGAAGGGGGCGGGGAGGGAGACCCCTGCAGAGACGCCAGCGAGCTCAGGCCCTAAGACACTCAGAGCGCCAGAGCGCAGGGCCGGCTAGAGGAGGCTCTCGGATGGAGGAGGTGAGAGATGGTGGTCCTTGCGCTTCGGCCTTACCTCGTTGGACAAAATGCTGCCGTTGGAGAGGATGTCGGGCTGCTGGTCGGCGTAGCCGCTGACCAGGGCGCCGCAGGGGTTGTGCTCGGCGTCGGCGCTCCGCGACGGGCTGCAGGGTTTGAGGAACATCAGGTCGGTCTTGGCGGACTCGGGGGTCAGGCAGACCTGGTAGCAGTAATTCTGGTTGTGGTGGTGGGAGCCGAAGCCCCCCGGCTCCTCCACGGGCACTTGGGCCGGGTTGCTGGGCGCGCCGGCGCTCTGCACCAGCATGATGTCCGACTTGCTGAGCTTCTTCTTGCGCGCGCGGGCCTGGCGGCCGCAGCAGGCCGCGGCCCCGCCGCAGCAGCACAGGCAGCACTCGCCAGCCAGGCACGTGTAGATGTTGAGCTTCTTCTCCTTGCGGCAGCGCACGGCCAGCACGATCATGGCCAGCAGGAAGACGAAGGACACCGAGCCCAGCGCGATGATGAGGATGAGGGTGAGGTCCAGCGAGGTCTCCCCGCCGCCCGGGCGGCTGGGGCGCTGCTGCTCCCCGGCACCCCCGCCCGCGCCCGCGCCCCCGCCCTGCGCCTCCACGGCGCCGTCCACCAGCTGCACCACCAGGGTGGCCGTGGACGACAGCGGCGGCTGCCCGTGGTCGCGCACCTCGATCACCAGCTCGTAAGGCCGCTGGGGGTCGCGCTTGGCCGGCACCCGGCGCGCCGTGCGGAGCTCGCCCGTGCGCCAGTCCATGCGGAACAGGCTCATCTCGTTGCCCCGCACGATGCTGTAGGTGAGCCGCGCGTTCTCGCCGTCGTCCGCGTCCACCGCCGCCACGCGGGTCAGCAGGTAGCCCGGCTCGGCCGAGCGGGGCAGCGCCTCGCGCGCCGGCGTCCCGTTGCGCCCGGGCAGGGGCGCCACGAGGGCCGGGGCGTTGTCGTTCTGATCCACGATGAGGATGTTGACCGTGGCGTTGCCCGCCAGCGCCTGCGGGCTGCCGGCGTCGCGGGCTTCCACCTGGAAGCTGAAGTCCTTGAGCTGCTCGTAGTCGAAGGAGCGCAGGGCGTACAGGTAGCCGTTCTCGGAGTTGATGGACACGTAGGTGAAGACGCTCATGCCCTGGATCTGGCACTCGAGGATGGAGTAGGCGAGCTGGGCGTTGGCGCCCTCGTCGCGGTCGGTGGCGCTCACGGCGTAGATGTAGGCGCCCGGCACGTTGTTCTCGGTCACATACACGTCGTAGACCGGCTGGCTGAAGCGCGGGGCGTTGTCGTTCACGTCGGACACCTGCACCTGGATGGACTTGCTGGTGGAGAGCGCCGGCTCGCCGCGGTCGCGCGCCACCACGGTCAGGGTGTAGGACTCCCCCGCCTCGCGGTCCAGCGGCGCCTCGGTCACGATGGTGTAGTAGTTCTTGAAGGAGGACTTGAGGCGGAACGGCACGTCCCCCAGCAGCTCGCACTGCACCTGCCCGTTCTCCTCCGAGTCGCGGTCGGTCACGCTGAACAGGGCCACCACCGTGCCGGGCGCCGCGCCCTCGCTCACCGCCTCCTTCACCGTGCTGAAGCTGATCTCGGGCGCGTTGTCGTTGGCGTCCAGCACGCGCACCAGCACCTTGCAGTGCGCGGGCACGGCGTTGGGGCCCAGGTCCTTGGCTTGCACGTACACCTGGTACAGCGGGCTGTCCTCGTAGTCCAGCTCGCCGCTCACCTCCAGCCGGCCGGTCCGCGGGGACAGGCCGAAGAGCTCCCGCGCCCGGGGCGAAATGTGGCTGCTGAAGGAGTACACCACCTCGCCGTTCTGGCCCTCGTCCGGGTCGCTGGCGTTGAGCTGGATCACCAGCGTGCCGGGCGGCGAGTTCTCGGGCAGGGACACGGTGTAGACCGGCTGGTCGAAGGCCGGCACGTTGTCGTTGGAGTCCAGCACTCGGATGGTGAGCAGGGCCGTGCCCGTGCGCTGCTGCTGGGGGGGCAGGCCCCCGCCGCCTCCCCCGCCTTCGGCGCCTCCGCCCCCGCCGCCTCCCCCGTCCACCGCGGTCAGCACGTAGCGGTGCACCGCTTGCTGCTCCCGGTCCAGCGGCTTCTCCAGCACCAGCTCGGCGAAGCGGTTGCCATCCCCCTGGGTCTGCACGTCCAGGGAGAAGTAGCTGTTGGGGGTGATCTCGTAGTCGCGCAGGGAGTTGGTGCCCACGTCCGGGTCGAAGGCGCTCTCCAGCGGGAAGCGGGTGCCCGGCGTGGCGCTCTCCGAGATCTCCACCGTCAGGTCCGGCTCCGGGAAGGAGGGGGGGTTGTCATTGATGTCCAGCACCTCGATCTCCACCCGGAACAGCTCCAGCGGGTTCTCCAGAAAGACCTCCAGGTGCAGAACGCAGGAGGGGCTCTGTTTGCAGATCTGCTCGCGGTCGATCTTCTCGTTCACGTACAGCACCCCGGTCTCCAGGTTGAGGTCCAAGTAGGGGGTCCGCGAGTTGGGCACCGTTTGGAACCTGCGAGCCGAAAGTTTTGTAATGTCCAAGCCCAGGTCTTCGGCGATATTCCCCACGAAAGTGCCGTGTTCCTGCTCCTCCTGCACCGTGTAGCGAAGCTGGGAGAAGACCCCCTCCACCGTCCAGAGCAAGGCTAAGGAGAATAGCACAATCATCTCCAAAGGGAAAGGAAGCAGCTTCCCGCGGCCTGTCAGCCACCCGGTCGCCTCCCCGCCACCACGGAGAAGAATTAAAAATGACAAATAAAAGTGCGCTATGTGGGGGCTCCCGTGGCCTTCTGTCCTTAAAAATCCTGTTCCTTTCGCTTCATTCTAGGGCTCCCCCCGCCCCAGTTCAGCCTCGTTCTTCAACCTTAGCGCAGGCTGGGCGACAGGCATCCCCTCTCCTCATCTGTAATCTTCCCACTGACCAATTAATAAGATAATAAGACAATCATCAGCGTCCTTTATTCCGACAATCTTGGCGCAGCGCGGCGCTGGCAAATCCCGAGGAGAAAATTTCGATATTTCAAGACTGTCCTCGGCTTGTCTTCTTGCTGATGGGAGGAGGAGGAGGAGGAGGACGAGGAGAAGGAGGAGGAGGAGGAGGAAGCAGAGGAGGAGGAGGAGGACGAGGAGAGCCTGCTGGCGCCGCTGCACATGCCTCTTAATGTCACAGGCTGGCAGATGCGAAAGGGCTCACGGGCGGCGAGCGGATTCGGCGCCGGAGGAGCGGAGGGCGGCTCTGCAGCAGCAAACTTTGATTCTCCTCCTCTCCCCGGAAGGCTGGGCAGGCTGGCATGGTCCCCCGCTCGCTCTAGCCGCGGTTCCCGGCTCCGGGGGGCGCGCGCCTCGCCGTGTCCATCGCCCGGCCGCCCGCCCCTCGGGCAGCGTGGAGCGGGTCCTGCTGCGGTC